AATTAAAATGGCTAAAATATGTACGGAACATATACTATTAATATATGTCAAGTACCATTCTAAGTGCTTTCTGTGTATTAATTCATTTAATCCTCCAAATTCTGAGGTAGGAATTACTATCTTCTCCATTTTGCAGGCAAGAAAACAAAAAATACAATGAAGTCAAGTGATAGGTATCTCATCAATTGCCTGAAAATACAAGGACCTTAATGAGTTAATTGGTGCAGCACACCAACATGGCACATGTACACATATGTAACAAACCTGCACCTTATGCACATGTACCCTAGAACTTAAAGTATAAAAACAAACAAACAAACAAAAAACCACACCGTAACTCTTATCTGTTGCCTCCTTATCTTCCATGATAGTGTGGTCTATTATTTGTTTTTCACCCGCTCTCCAATTGTTTGACTTTTGCTTTATAGTCAGCAAAACTTGTAATTAGATTAACATGTTTGCTAATTCACTTTTTCATTATTGCTTTTTGCAATTCCACTCCTTTATCTGAGGTTCACTTTACCTCTTGGAGAAATAACTTATTTTGTAGCTATTTTACTGAGAATCTGTGAGTGGCAAACTCTCTGAGACTGTCTGAAAATATCTTTATTTCATCCTCACTTCCTGGATAAAAACTCGACTGTGATTCCTAATTGATACTATTATTGCATTTTCTGCTGGAGTCTACTGATATAAATAAGAAGTTTATCAGTCTGTTATTCTCTTGTAGGTACTATCTTTTCTCTGGTTGCCCTTAGAATTTTGTCTTTCATGTTCTACATACAGTTTTATCATGAAATAACTAGATGTGGATCTGTTTTACTTTATCCTGCGCAGACTTAGCATGCTACTCTAATTTGCACATTCTTATCTTTCCTTAATTACGAAAAACTGATAGTCCTTATATCTTAGAATACTGCCTATGGCCTATTCTCTGTATTTCCTCCTTGTAGAACTCCAACTTGGCAGATGTTGGAGAGTCTTATTCTGCCTATCATTTCTCTTTATTGTTTTATCATATTTTCCTTTTATCTCTCTGCGCTGTTATATTGTTATAGTCTGAGTGATTTTTACAGATCTATTGTCCAGTTAACAAGTACTCTCTGACTATGCAAATTTGTTTATTCTTCTACTTTCATTATTAAATAACGAGTCTGAAGTGTTCATGGGAGTAAAGGGGAAAAATTTACTCTTTCTTCTTTTCTAAAATGCATACAACTGACCCTTGAGCAACTCGAGGGTTAGGAGTGCCAACCCTCCATGTAGTCAAAAATCCAAGTATAACTCTTGACTCTCCGAAAACTTAACTACCAATAGCCTACTGTTGACCAGATGCCACAAAGTCAATTAATACATATATTGTGTGTTACATGTATTATACTGTGTATTCTTACAATAAAGTAAGCTAGAGAAAATTAAGTTATTAAGAAAATCGTAAGATAAAATATTTACAGTATTGTAAAGTATTAATCAATACCATAAGTTTGTCATCTGTTTACGAGATGAACTGTCAGAAACGGTAGGAACTACAGCTGCAGACCTTAATCTACGGTACATATCAAGCAATTCAACTTTTTCTTGTAATGTCATGATTTTTCTCTGCTCATTGGGAGCACTTCCAGCATCACTAGTGGCACTTTATGTGGGTTTCACGGTGTTATTCAAGGTTTCCAGCATAGCCCTAAACATGATGAAAAACATACGAGAACCATGAGATCACTTTTTATTGCAATACACAATTTACTTGAGACACACACTGCTTGTGCAGAGATTATCAGCATCACATGGTATGTCAAGCAGATACTTGCAACACTTGAGCTCACTAAAACAGCAACAGGAGGTAGCTATGAAATTATTACAGTAGTATAGTATGTACTAGAGTTAATTTTATGCAGTTATGATTTAATACTGCATCTTTATATTCATTTACATTTCTCTCAACTGCAAATGGGACTGTGTAGGGTCTAAGTGTTTGTATGCATTAATTTTGATAAATTTTATTTTTTATAATAAATTTGTGTATGTTTTATGGTAAATGATAGACTAGTAGCTACATATATTTTATGCATCCATAGCAAACCTAACTTTCTTTTTTTTATATTTATAGTCTATAAAGTTTGTCTGCAGGGTTTTACAAAGTTGTCACAAAACTCCAAAAAATTTTCCAGTATGTTTATTCAAAAACAATCTTCATATAAGTGGACCTGTGTAGTTCAAACCCATGTTGTTCAAGGGTCAACTGTAATAGTATGGAGAAACTTGCTACGGGTTGGAGGAGGGCAGCAATATAATAATGCACATACAAATTAAAAAATATATAAGTGATATACAACATACACACATACATATAGTTACGTGTCACTTAACTATGGACATACATTCTGAGAAATGCATCATGAGGTGATCTCGTTGTGCAAACATCGTAGGTATACTTATACAAATCTCCATTGTATAACCTAGCACACACCTAGTGTATAGCCTATTGCTCCTAGTCTACAAACCTGCACAGCATATTACTGTACTGAACACTGTAGGCAATTGTAACATATTGTAAGTATTTGTTTATCTAAACATATCTAAACATAAAAATGCATAGTAAAATACAGTATTATAATCTTACAGGACCATCATTGTATGTGGTCAGTTGTTGAACAAAACATCATTATGCAGTACACAACTATATCATGTACTATACATAATTGTACATGCTACGCTTTTATACGACTAGCAGTGAACTAGGTTTGTTTACACTGGCATCACCACAAAAATGTGAGTAACGTGTTGTGCTACAATGTTATGACGGCTACTGGGCCACTAAACAATAGGAATTTTTCAGCTCCATTATAATCTTGGGGGACCCCGATATATACATAGTTTGTCACTGACTGAAACGTTATGTGCTGCATGAACGTATCTGTTAAATGTATAAACTAAAGAGTTGAAACAAATCCCATATTTGGCCAATGTAGAATGTATGTAGAAGGAAGACACAGAACCAAATTTTTCATCCTTTTATAACTACAAATGCATTTAAATATAACATTAAGTCTTCTGTTCTCATAGTACATGGTTCAAATGTACATAGAAAGTACATATAAATATCTGGAGGAGGAGTATTCCAGGTGGAGAGAACTGCAAGACCCCGTGGCAAGAAGGGGCTCAGCATGACTGACAAATAGCAAGAAGGTAAGAGTGGCTAAAGTAGTGTAAAAAGAGGGTAGAAAATGAGGCAGACGAGGTGTTTGGGAATTAGATGGACATATGGCCTTCCATGTCATGACAAGGTTTTGGATCTCATCATAAGTGTGATGGGAAGTGAGTAGCACCTAAAATGTCCTTGAAAATGTTATTTAAATTTTATATTATGTTTTGTATAATATTTTTAAAGTGGGATTTGTTAAGAGATTATGACCTCATTTAGAATTTAAATGACTTCATAAGTCATATTTTCTCATTTATTTTGAACTAAGTTACTTCATAAAAATCAAGTTTTTTTATTTTTAAAACATGTACAAGATGACATATTAGGATAAGCAATGTAATTATTACAAATGACATAATCTGATACAGAATTCTGGACAAAATTCTCCTGTTTAGAGACTTCTATATGTGAGATATATACATTACGGCACACATGAAACATGTATGTACAGTCTGATGAATCACTAGAGTGAATCAGTGTAACCACTATGTAGGTCAAAAAATAGAACATTGCCAGCACCTCTGAAACCCTTGCTATCTGACTTTTAAAAAAAGAGCTTACTTAGGACTATAATTTGTGATAATTATCCACTTAAATGTCAACCGAAATCATGTGACCAATCTTTTTATGGGCAAAAAGAATGTCCCCTTAAGTCCATATTTAATTTCAATATGGAAATTGAGTACATATCAACTTAAAATCTATTCACATTTCAGTATAGGGATATACAATCTCTAAGGCATTTATTTTTAATTAAAAAGATATAGCATGTATATAAAAATAGAACTATGAAACTTAAAGTGTATACATTTTCATGCAGTTTAGGGAAAGAGAAACCTAATAGTCACAGCTTTAGGATAAAAAGCATTTGATTAAAGTAAAATTAAAGACATTCAAAACTTTAAGATCTCATTTTGTATTACATTATAACAAATTACATAAAATAAGACTTCTTTGTTTCTGGGTAGCTTCTAGTATATGCTAGCACTCACTAAATGTTAAACAATAAAATGTGAATTAGGCTAATGACAGTATATCTAAAGGATACACTATTAAATTTGAGCCTATTTAAAATTTTATATTATAAAACTACATGTCACTGATTCATAACCTTTCTCAAAAAAATAGATAGATAAACCCATGAAATCGAGATTTGTGTTTTTAAATCAGTATTTTAGCAATAAACTACCAGAGGACAACAAATATGTATGGTCAAAATTAAAATTAAACTAATAATATTTTAAAATAAAGAATTTCATACTAAAATTAGATTTTTCTCTACGGAAAAATTCTACAAACCTTTTGTAAATACATTTGAAATAGTCAAGAAAAAGAAGGGAATGAAATATAATAAATAAAGGTAAGCTATATAAAGATATACTAAACATGGGTAAAACTAAATGGAAAACATGAATAAAAGTAACATTTAGAAGTATCACTCTTAAGTTGTAGTGCAGCAGCACCTGAATTATGCTGCCGTTAATTTATGCACATGATGGATAGCTTGTTAAGGGGCATATCTGTAACCATTATAATTGATAGTAGCTGAAGGCAAGTCAGGCCATAATTTCTATTTAATGGATGGGATAGTAAGGGAACAAAGCCTGCAGTTGCATTTTAAAATAAGTGCCGAAAGTTTACATTTATGTCCTAAGTAACACCTATATTAAGGTATTAAATTATTTGAGAGAAGAGAAAAATCAGCTGTAGCAAGATCCATATATAATTAAAGCAAAATTTTGATTTAGCCAATAACTAGAAAAACCTTACAATAAGTAGAAAAGAATGTTCAACTAACCATTTGATAGTCCATTTCTGTGCTTTTGTTCTTCAGAGCTTGTGGGAGAAGCAAACAGACTCATTTGACAAGTTCCAGTTGTTGGAGAATAAGTTATAAAACTTTTCTTCCTTGTGATTTTTGAAGGATCAAATGACTTGAAATAAATAATAATTTAGGACAGAAATAGTTATGTTATAGATTTTTGAAATTATATACCATTAAAAATCAGCAAAATTCAAATTCGTTTCCTTGCTCTTGCTTTTCAGATTACAAATATACTTAATTATCACTCTCAGAGTAAACACTATTCTTTCAAATTAGGTAGGCATTTCAGGTCTCTATAATAACTAGAACATCTCAATTTGATATTTACTAAATTTTAGCATTAAAGGGTTACTACCTTCTGAGATGGTATTTCCAAATAGGTTAGAGATGGCCAACTCTCCCAACCATACCCTGACTTTTGCTTTCAGCTGAACTTGAAGTATAATTATGGGGCCAGGGCAGGAAAACTCTCAGAGGTGCCTATTACTAAGCCTCACACAGAAACCTTAGAAAGGATAACTGCTGTCCTACAGCTTCACAAAGTGGTCTGATGTAGTGTCTTGCTTCAATAATAACCAAAATAATGTCCAAACAATTGAGTCAGGCATTTAAGGCCTTTGAGGATCTGGCGTATCTTACAAACTTCCTCTTAGCAGCTTCCTCCTTTGTGTTTCCACAGGTGTTGGACATACCTCTTATTTCAGGTAACATATTTTAATAAGTTTTAATTTTTGTCTGTTCGATTAGAATTTGCTCCTGAAAATAAATATTATTTTTTCATCTTTATATCCTAGAGAACTAAAAAAATGTGTGAGGAATGAATGACTTACAAGGAACAGTCCAGTAAATTTGGCCATCTTGCTCTACTCAGAATATACTAATTTGTTCATTGGTTCATTCATCCAATTATTCACTGTTACCTACAGCTTCAGTCACTAGGCTATGTGCATTTGGGCCTCAGATCATTCTGTGATCTCAGCCTGGAACATCCTCTTTTTCATCTTCCCCAGGACCTAGACTTTCTTTAGTTTAGGCCCTCATTCATGATCCCTTTCCTTCAAACATCTATTGTCGTACTATTAATTGTTCCCTTTCCTGAATTCCCTTAAAACTTGCTTTCCATAAGGCTTACTGATCACACACCAGCATTGCTAACTAATGTGTACAAAGAAATGTAACAAATTGCTCTGGCCTTAAGGAGTGTCTACTAAAAGTCAGAACAACAATGAAGAGGTTTTAAATTAGTATGTATGCAATGAAATTCAGAGAAGAGGGAAAATTCAAAGTTGGCTGCAGTAGTCTGTTACAGAAAAAAGAATGAGAAATCTGGAATAAGAGGTGGAACAGACAGCATAGGATGGATCTGGGGGATACAGGAAAGGTCTGATGGCTCATATATTGCCAACATACTGGATATAGCTTGGCAGAGGATTTGAAATAGTTCCTTAACTCTGCATGGTCAACTATCCTTTATTTTTAAGAGACCTATGGAGGAAATAGTGGCTGTGTCATCTTTTTTAGTAATCTTAATATTAGTTCCAGAATCTATAGCATTCAAAAAAAATTTTACAGTTAAGATTTTAAATATTGGGAAACAATATTTAATTATATTGAGAAACAAAAGGCATTTTTTATTTTATGTATCCATAGTGGCTACAAAAGGAATGAATACCTTTTAAAAAATCAAACTATAATATCAAGTTATAACTCTAAAGCAATCTTTTTTTGTACAGTGAAAAGGTTTTAAGTCTCTTTATCAGGTGGTTATTATTACCTCTCCATCTTGAGTTTTCACCTGTTTGTATGTATTCAGTCATAAACTATGACATTTATCCAATTCCTACTCTACTTTTCCAAGAATTTATTGCCCAGAACTACTTCACTGTGTATGTACAAGAAATGAAAGTCACTACCCTAATGTACATTTATGTCAAACTGTTTTCCTATTTTCACCAAAAAATTATTTATCCAATTGCCAAATGTCTAAACATTTTAACTGTAGATCATACATTTCTCCTGGGAAACAATTTTCCAGCTTTCAGAAAATAACTGTGAGTGTGCATGTGCTGTGTGTGTGTGTGTATTTTTGCCTCATTTTAGAAATACTGAGGCTTCTCTCTTTCTTTTTGTTTTTTTTGGTCATTTGTGTTGGTTAAAAAGAAAAATGTCTGTCTACAACTACCACACACAGAAGGAAAACTGAAAATCTACCCTTTCCCTACTATACCACTAAATATTCTTCAGTAAATATGCACTTTTGTTTATCTGCCCTACTGGTACACACAAAGGCATAACCCTACTTCCGTAAGTTTTCTTTCCCTCAAGGTTGTACCAAGTTCCTCTAACTTTTCATCTCTGAAGAGGTTTAAAAGTAATCCTAGAATCGATCTGAGAATTTCCATTCTGCCATCTCCCAAACTTTGAAGGTCTTGGCCTACTTATTACTCTCCCACAAAAGGAAGAATTAAGAATACTGGGATTTGAGAGAAGACTGAGCTACTGAGAAGTCAGTACTCCTTCCACTCAGCAACGATGAGTACTACCTATGAGTCCTTTAAAAAAACAGGAAGAAAAATTAAGAGGGCTAGTTTTGGCTAGAAAAAAGCAAGGACTCAGGATGTAAACAAAACGAGAAAGAAAGAAAGGAAGGGAGGAAGGGAGGAAGAGAGGAAGGGAGGAAGGAAGGAAGGAAGGAAGGGAGGGAGGGAGGGAGGGAGAGAAAGAAAGAGATGTTGGTGTTGGCTGGGCAGGGCGTTTCATGCCTGTTATCCCAGCACTTTGGGAAGTCAAGGCAGGAGGACTGCTTGAGCTCAGGAGTTCGAAACCAGCCTGGGCAACATGACAAAACCCTGTCTCCACAAAAAGTATCAAAAAATGAGCTGGGCATAATGGTGCATGCCTGTGGTCTAGCTACTTTGGAGGCTGAAGTGGGAAGATCACTTAAACCCAGGAAGTTGAGGCTACAGTGAGCTGTGGATCAGAACATACACACACAAACAAACACACACACATACAAGAAAATAGATGTCACAACCACTTCTATAATAATTTATAACTGCTGGCAGCTCATGCCTGTAATCCCAGCACTTTGGGAGGCCAAGGTGGGTGAATCGCTTGAGGCTGAGTGGGAGACCAGCCTGGCAACACGGGGAAACCCCGTCTCTACTAAAAACACAAAAATTTGCCAGGCGTGGTGGCACGCCTGTAGTCCCAGCTACTCAGGAGGCCGAGGCACAAGAATCACTTGGACCCAGGTGGCAGAGGTTGCAGTGAGCCAAGATCATGCCACCGCACTCTAGCCTGGGCGACATGGGAGATTCTGTCTCAAAAAACAAACAAACAAACAAACAAACAAACAAACAAACCTGCTTGTAATATTTCCTGACTCCTTAAGAGTTATTTAACACCATTTCTAAACAGAAGAAATGCCACATTCTAAGATGCTGCAATCAGTCCCGCCCAAATGCTACTGTACTTTTTATAAGGAGGTCTAATCTTGTACATTAGCAAAACTAAAATTTGGGCATCGATTTTTCAGCCTGAGAGAAAAAATCAATGTTCTCTCAATAATTTCAAATAGATATGATATTTTCCTTTCCTTCCTTCAATATCTTTCACAAACTGTAGCTTGCTTTGTCACCTTGTTTAAAGCATACACTACAAAAAATGCCTGCATTTTATTGATTTTTTTAAACCTATTATAAACAGTCTAGAAAGTACTAACGAAAAATTCTTGCAGGATAAAATATGGGGTTTAAAGGATACTTTATCATTATTTTGAACTGCCAGCCTATGCTAAAATATTTAAAACACAGATACTGTAGTGTCTGGCCAACTAGAAACAAAAGGGCAGCTAGAAGGAGATAATTCTTCATAAACTTATACTGGTTATTTAAGCTATCGGAGTGTCTCACCTAAGATAATACACATTACTAGTACTAATTATGAAATTTACATTAGAAAACTCTAGCATTAGCTGCCTTAGAGACTTTTCACAATTTGGGCCTAAGGTTCCTAGAAGAGTACTAGATATCAACCAACTACCTTCTTTATTTTTTTGAGACAAAGTCTCGCTGGGTCCCCTGGACTGGAGTGTAGTGGCATCATCTTGGCTCACTGCAACCTCTGCCTCCCGGGTTTAGGCGAGGTAGCTGGGATCATAGGTGCCCACCACCACGTCCGGCTAATTTGTGTATTTTTAGTAGAGACAGGGTTTCACTACGTTCACCAGGCTGGTCTCTAACTCCTGACCTCAAGTGATCTGCCCACCTTGGCCTCCCAAAGGGCTGGGATTATAGGCGTGAGATACCACACCCAGCCCCAACTACCTTCTTATTAGCTACCACAATTATCAACCTTAATGGTTCTAAAAATGTTGGGGTTTTGTTTTTATGGTAGCTATGGAGAACAGAAACATTTTGAACTTATCTTAGCGAACTTACAGGGATAGCAAGGAAAGAATATGACCAATATATTAAGAGCTACGGTACTGAATTATGCATTTGCTAAAACTCCTCGAATTATACACTCAAAATCTTTGAAATTAATAATATGCAAATTTCACCCTAACAAGAAAAATAAAATACTGGTTAAAAACATTGATGCACTGGTTTTTCTATTTGTAGTAATTATTTTTTCACAATTTAAAGGTATTAATTTTAATAATAAAAGTATCATTACCGTCATTCTCTTACACTGTAATTTTTTTTTTCTAAGGGATGAAGTCTTTCTCTGTCACCTAGACTGAAGTGCAGTGGCACTATCACAGCTCACTGCAGCCTTGAACTCCTGGGCTCAAGCGATCCTCCCACTTCACCCTCCTGAGTAGCTGAGACTATAGGTGTGCACTACCATGCTAGCTTATTTAACAAACAAAGTTTTTTTAGAGACAGGGTCTTACTACATCGCCCAGGCTTGTCCCAAATTGCTAGCCTCAAGCAATTCTCCCACCTCAGCCTCCCCCAAAGCTGGGATTACAGCCAGAAGCCACCACGCAGGCTTCCAGAGACTTTATGGTTTGGCTTTACTTTAGGCCTATGATCCTTCTTGGAATAAACTTTGTAAATAAAGTGAGATATGAAGTGCATATGAATTTTGTATATGAAATGA